GAAATGAGGAATTTTGAAACTTGAAAAATGTTTTGGATGCTGTGCTCTTGAATGATTTGTCCTTTTTTTCCTATTTATAATCTACCTTCCATGTTAGTTCCATTATCGTGGGATATTTATCCACTCTCCTCACTACTTTAAAGCTAGAGCAGTTTCAACCTTCTTAAAGAAAATCTCTGAAATGCTTTGAGTCCATTCATGTTTCCCTAAAGCCATGATGGCAAACCTATGGCGCACATGCCACAGGTGGCACATGGAGCCATGTCTGCTGGAATGCGAGCCATCAGCTCCAGAGTGCATGCGTGCGCCAGCCAGCTGATTTTCAGCCTTCCAGAGGGCTGGGGGAGGCCATTTCCACCCTCCCCAGCTCCAGGAAAACCCCTGGAGCCTGGGGAGGGTGAAAAACGGGCCTAACTTCTGTCCCTCCCCCAGAAGAAATTTCCTCCAGGGACCTCCCCCGGCCCTCCAAAGGAAACACATGGAGTCAAGCAGTGTGGCGCATGTGTGGGGAGCTTGTGGCGGATTGTGCATGCATGCACATATGAGGAAGCGCTTTGCATTATGGGTGCTTGCATGCATGCTATTGCGTGCATGCCCTCACATTTTTGGCACCCAACAACAAAAAGTTTAGCCATCACTGCCCTAAGGTTTAAAGTATCAACCTGACATGACAGTAGCGCTGGGACACTTTTAAGCCTCCTGGAATAACAGGATTGACTGGTTGTTCTCTGAATGAGCTGTGATCTGTCAAGAAGAGTTTCTGATTCCCAAAAGTTTGACTGCAACAGTGCCGAAAGCTACCATGCCACTTAAATTAGGCTGATAACACGAAGATAACCGAGAGTGGGGCTGCTGTGTGAGTGAACTCTGTACGGAAAGCAAAAGAACAACTTGTGGTTCCTAATTCTAAACATAGGTTTTGCCCTCCACGCCCCTGTTTTGTACTTGACAAATTGCTGCCAACTTGTATAAAAATAGTCGCTCATGGAACCTTAATGTCTTCGAAGTCTTTGAAATGAGGCTATTTAAAAATAATTACCAACCTTCCCCTTTTTAAAAAGTATAAGAGAGTCAGAAATTATATTTTTAAGAATTGGGGAGCAAATGGCTAATATTGAAGCTCTAGAAGAGTTGCCCACCTAGAGGGCAACATCAAGCTGCCGTCGGTTGATTTCAAAAACCTAAACAAGCTCGGGCCTTGTTAGAATTGAAAACCATCAAAAAATCTCAGGGGGATGAAAAGCAATGCAAAGTTTTTTTATACGGTTGTCAAAAGAAACCTACAAGCTCATGAACTCGCTAGGAATTGAACTGAACTTGAGACTTTAGCTTTTGCATGAGAAATTATTGCTGCTCAAAACTGACATTTTTTGTGGCCTTTCCAGTTTTTACACTACTCAGAACACAAAGGAACACGAACTACTAATAACCAGAGCAGGACTCCGTGCACAAAACAGCCCAAAACATGAAATAAAGATATATAGATAAATAAAGATAAAGTTACAAATTTGTTGAAATCAGACCACATGAAGTTGACTCCAAGGGCCATGAGTAATGCAATGCAGGAGTTCTATCAAGAAGAGGATTTTTCGGTTAAAGACTTTGGCGGAACAGATTGCACTAGCTGAAAAACTAGCATCACATAATCATTGTATGATTTAGATAACTGAGATGGGATTTGGGGGGGGAAAGGTGCATGCATGGATTTTCTTCATCTAAGCCTCAACTCCGCCCAACTTTTCAAGGCATTATTTTAAACCAAAATATTAACCCAGATAAAGTAACTATAAAAACCATAAAATTTGCTTTCAGTAATCAAATATGTGCTCTAAGACTCTCTCAGATCTGTTGCAACAGCAACTTCCACAATTCCTGCACAGCATAGCAGTTGGCCGTTTAATTCACAGTTTGAGGAAGTTTGCTGAAATAAGAATTAGGATATAGTAATAACCTTATACAGTTCTGTTTTTGATACAAATAATTGGACTAAATGTTCAACACCAAAGTTCAATTCTCATACATGGACCCGCGCACATGTGCACACCCACCCACCCACACTTTCAAATGATAAACTGAGATGAATGCCCTTTTTTGCAACATGCCTAGGCACTTTGATTCAGCTTTGGACAAGCTGGCAAATAAAGGAAGCTATTCTGCTAATTAGTTTTCAATGAATTTCATTTGGAAATCATGGCTCCTAGTTAAGAGTTTGGCTTGGAAGATAACGTCACTCTATCACTTAGTACCTTGATTTTTTTCCCGATTGCAACAAGCCCTACAATTTTTATTAAAAAGCTTCCTGGCTTCTTTAGTTACTCAGGAGGTTATTTAATCAAATATAGTTTGTACTGTAGCTTATATACAGTATTTATTCATATTTTATTAAAGGTGTACTTGCATGACTAAACATAGCCAATTATCTCCATTCCAAAAAATTATCCGTACCCACCCACCCCCACTCCAAGCATGGCCAGTAATTATTTAGAAAATGCCTCTAGCATTGATGAAGGAAAGAACTTAATGTTAAATACTAATTTGCCTAATGTTGTATTTTTTTAGCCAGTGTCAAGATGAAGTTTTGTTATCGTTTCAATTCAGAGTTCTCATTTTTTTTCATAGCAGTGCTAATTTTTTGCTTTTTATTTTAAAAAATATATTGTGCTGGCTTGCATAAAAAAAGATTCATGAAAATAATGTAAAAGGGCAAAAACAATATAGATTAGGCAAATTGAACTGTAAGTACACATATCAGAAGACTTAACTGGACACCAAAATAGGTACATGTTATAATGCAAATTGATTGGGGAAACTCATGTTTTTATAAATGAATAAATGAACTTGACAGTCTCAAAGAAATGAAAGAAGAAGTTAAATAAATAAATAATCAAACAAACAAACAAACACATTTACACACATGCATGCATACACAGTACATATATGCATTGGGAATGGTAACATAAGAAAAGTTTGGATCAGGAATTAATGGATGCTGAATTAATTAACTAAAACTAAACTAATTAACTAAATTAACTAAATGGAGGATCAAGAACCTAGCATGAAATAAATATTTTTGTGATTTGAGAGAGAATAAATGGTNAAAGCAAATGCTGTTGCTTTAAATCGGAACTGAGCATGCCTGGCTGTGGAATTCTGGGAGTTGAAGTCCACAAGTCTAAAAAATTTTGAAACTCACCACTATATCAGTGCCTCACCAGCCATAAACCTCACCGCACGTCACTGTTTGAGAAGGATTCCTAGCTTTGCAAGGGTAGAGGGGTGTCGAAGTGTGTTTGGACTCTGGGCTAACTATAGTGCACCTCTAATTTCAATACTAATTTTGCCTTTTGACTTACTCATTTAAATTGCTTTGATTTACTATCAGTAGTGGGCAGACAGTAGTTTGGATGACTGAATGTAACTATTACAACAAGGTTTTCCTTTCATGCAAAATCAGGTTGTAAATTAATAATAAAAGTATGTTGGTAACTGAATGAATAATGTGTTTTTTTAAAGTCAAACCAATGTATCAACCAAGCCAGAAACATTTTCATTCCATCATTTAAATCACTTTGATATCTATCAACTCCATACTGCCCCAAACTGAAAGGAAGTAAAGCTACAGTCATTTCATAATTCTTATTCCAAGACACAGTGAGATTGTGCCTTACATATTCATTTTTGCAAACTATGGCAAACATACGGAAAAAAAATCCCTTAGGAAGGTTCAATTTAACAGGCATAACGTGATAGACAGCAGTCTTTCAAAACATGAAGATTAAGGACTGGCTGTTTTTCAGGCCTAGTATGCTTGTAATGGGAATATTGTATTCAACAAATGCAGGAGATATTTTTGATGGAAAATATATCTAGTTTAAAATTGGAATAATTTGATTTGTTTGCATATTCCAATAAATTAAGCATATGAAATTACTTTGTACAAATTCAAATTCTACTTCAAAATGTCTTCTCCAAGGGTTTCCTCTCATAGTATTCACCACAAAAGATATCCTCAACCTTCATTGCTTAATCAAATTGTGTAACCTCTCTATCTCTTTCAGTGACTGAGCAGGAAGGACAAAGAGAGATAGGGAAGGACCTCATTTATTTGGGAAAGATAGAAGGAAATACTACCTTTATTGGTGGTAGCTTCTCAGATCTCTTACAGAGAACTGTATGCAAATTATCTTTCAATGTTGTTTCTCTAAAAGCAAGATAGATGTTAAATAGTGCAACAGAGTAAACATATATTTTCTATCTCTTACAAAGCAGATGCAAGATAATGTTGAAGACCTCCAGTGTTCCTTGAATAATCAAAACACCAAGAATGCCTACAAAACCACCAAGGTTGTAGAAGTTGGTGTGCTTGAAAATGTCAGGTTAATAGCAATATTAAACATTTCGGAGAACATCGTCTGCCATTGGGTTTTTAAAGAGATCCAAACCAAATGTAACTCCTCTCTGGATTTGGAGAACCGGTAAGTAAACAAACAAAAACACATTAAAAATACGAAGAGCAAAAAGTAATATTTGTTCCTCTTCACATGAGCCTGTGTCAAAACATCAAATGAACAATTGCAACACATGAATCCCCTTCTTAGTAATTCGAATTTTTAAAGATGTGAATAACTGGATGGTTGCTTGTCTCTCTTGAAGTAACACTACTTACCAACATTCTCTTGCATCACACCCTTTAACCTATAGCTCCAATATTCAGCACTTAGCATTTGTCCTTCTTAACTTTTCATAATATCTTTCCTGTACTTGTCCTAATTCATTCTTACGGAGCAAAATGAAAGGCAAAGTATTATGCTTCATCCGTGAGTGAGAATTAGGGAGGTGTCCCTAATTGCCTATTCAAACAACTGACTCGCCTTTAATTCCTATTAGATTAGGCAGAATTGAAGAACAGGAAAGCTTTGGATTCCCATGGACCCAAATCCTCACCTAATCTTTCAATGCTACCTTCTAATTCCCAGGTTTCATATACATCTTTCCTTCTCTGACATCAAAGCTCCATGGCTGGAAGAAGGTTTCAGAAGCTTAATGGAAGAAATTAGAAGTCAAATTTCCCTCTCCAGAATTCAAGTGGGGAATTCCCACCCAATATTTATATGACTCTGGATGTTTTCCCAATCAATACATTTTTTTTTATTGGGAGCCATCCACGGTTAGTTAGAAGATAGATGCTATATGTTATAAGTAACAAGTAATGCCTTTTAACTATAACGTTATGCCATTTAGCCTATTGCTGTATTAAAAGTGATGTTGGTAGATAGGAATAGAGAGGATCAAATTTATCTCTCAGACAGCTATTTTCACTGGTTGAATCTGGATCAGTTGCTAGATAAAATGGAAAGGAAGGGAAGAGAGGGAGAAGCGGCAACTGCATTGCTATTAGCTCTGCCAGTAGACTGCAAATAAAATCAGAAACTTGAAATGAGTTAAGGAATGCGATGTCCATACTCTGACAAACCAACTGGAGTTATCTGCTAAAATTCACAGGTTTAATTGACCCATTCTAACCTGCAGTTAGAACCACACTGCTTATATTAGTCTACCAGTCTTTCTAAATGAAATATGTAATGAAGTTGCATATTGAAGCTAAAAGTATGATCTCTTCCTCTTCTTGGAATGAGCAAGAGACCACTATCATTTGGAACTGTAGAGATTTCAAGAACTTCCAGAGAAGTGTAAGTAGAGAAGAACCGTCATTGTGGCTAACCTAATTCTGTAGGTGATTAATGAAATGGTTTTTCTGGTCCATATGCAAGGTTTTGTTTCCTTTTTGCTTGTTGTCATCTTGGCCTAGTTCCACACCCTGAAACTTTTTTTCATAATTATTTCATAAAGGAAGTCTTGTTTTCTGTCTCAACAGGCATATCATTTCAGTGGAGTTCCCAAGAATCAAAGAAACCCAAGAGGGAAATCACACACTGTTAATTACAACTGAAACCAGTAACTACACTATAGTATTTACGTTGTATATAAGGAGTAAGTATGACACATGGAGGTTTCGTATCTTATTTTACAATGAGCACGCCGCCCCAGTTAATATTTTAAGTACAAACCTTTAAAAAGTATTTAAAGCTATTTATTTAATACTACATGCATTAAATAAAATGTGTCATGATTATCATGTTATTGCTGGAGACTTCATTTAAAGCAGATTTTCCTCCTACCTTAATTATATATAAACTTTAATTTATTTCAGAATAATGACATGTAATAATTAACAAAGAACAAGCTGTCAATTGCTGTGGTATTCTAATATTATTTTTCTTGCTATTTATAAATACAGAATGTGTAGATTTATAAGGTATTGTATATTAATTGTACTAAGAATAGCTAAAATAATAATAGCAGGTAGCAAAGATCAGAATTAAATATATAGTTAATGTTGATAAATAAGGAAGTTAATATGGCTTGTAAAATGTATTGATTTTGTTCAAGCTCAACAAATGGATGATAATTAAGTTTATATAAAAGTTATTTATCAATTTTCATTGATAACTTTCAAAATGTATTGCAGCCAAATGTTCTTTCTTTATAGTTATGAATATCCTTATTTTTGTTTTTAATTATTAGGCATTTTGCTTTAGGAAGTTGTTATATAACAGCCCTGGTGGTGGAGTGATTACAGTAGAATGCAGTATTGCAGGGTAATTCTGCTGACTGCCAGCAGTTCAGCAGTTCGAGTNAAAAAAAAAGAAAAAAGGGACAGAGAGACAAAAGGAAGGAGAGAGAGAAAGAGAGATAGAAAACACATGGCCGGCAAGCCACTCCCACCAGGTTCACATGGCCGGCAAGCCACTCCCACAAAGGAGGCCACACCCACAGAGTAGGTTCCAAATTTTTTTGAAACCCACCACTGCACTGCCCTCACCTGATGTGACCTCCCCATCACAAGACCTACTGACCGCACAAAGCCCTTATTAGCAGAAGGACACCCACAATGACACCCCCTCAACTCCGCTGATGATGTTACCCAGCCTGCTAACAAAACGCTTAGAAACCACCAGCTTGAAGAATGAACCTTTTGCCCTCATCCTACGCCCGAGCTACAGATATTCGCCACTATTGCACACCCAAGCTTATTATAAAAAGCCTTTTCACCAGCTGGCTGTAGGCCTCTCACTGACTAGTAGTCTCAGTTATAAAAAAAAGTATTTAAACTTCACAGGTCTTGTGTATTTATCTTCCTAGCTACGTTTTATTACTCCTTTCCAATCAAGAAACTGTTGACGCTGTGTTTTCCATGTCTAGTATCTACAATTTGACGTCATTGCAGTTCTCACGGTGTTCTTCCAGACCTGGCTATTATGGTGATTCCTGCAAATAAAATAAATTTCACACCGTTTTCACATGAGTGTAAATACAGTCTCCAGGGTCAGCAGTTACATAACCGTGTTTTGAGTATGTTCCTGGGGAATAACACTGGATCATAACATGGCAGGTGTCACTTGGAAAGAGTAATATTGTTTGAAAAATAGCCCAAGTTTGCTGGGCTGTTGTGATGTGATCGCTGAGATTCTTCTTTGATCTAAACAAATGTAACCATGGCTGTCTTACTCCTTTTTTTAAAATAAGTATAATCTTTATTGTCATTAATTACGACTATCGCCAACCATCCTCAATAGGGATGTGGTGGCTCAGGGGCTAAGACGCTGAGCTCGTCGATCAGAAAGGTCGGCAGTTTGGTGGTNACCTCGTTTGCCTTCAATCTTTCTTGGAGGATTATGTGAAGTCAGTAGTGGGTTCCTACCGATTTGGCCCAGTTCAGCCCAACCAGTAGTAGCTTGCTGGCCTGGGTCGCTGGAACCGGCAGTGACCCAGGCCTGACACCCCCCTGAATTGGTTGTCTTGGCGGCGCCATGGGCACCGTCATCTTGTTTTTTGCTTCCGCGCATGCGCAGAGCAATCAGCAGCACGCCCTTGAGTGAACTGGAAGTAGTCTCTACCAGAACCCACCCCTGAGTGAAGTATACCATATTTTTCCAGGTGTCGCATCACATGTCCAAAACATTATAACTTTCACTTTTTAATGGCTTTGATGATTTCCCTTTGCCTTCCCAGGTGGCCTATCACCTCCTCATTTCTGATTTTGTCAGCCCAGCATATACGTTACAGCCACCTGTAAATCCACATTTCAAATGCTTCTAGTCTCTTCAAGTGACTTTTTGCCAGAGACCAACTCTCTACTCCGTAGAGCAGGAAGGAAAAGATGTAACATCTGACAAGCTTGATTTTCAGTCTTAGGCTTGTGTCTTAGGCTATATAGCTTAGAATATATTAATTTATGTTAACTGTGCCTTCGGATTCCTAAAGTCAAGAATAAACTTCAGCATAGAAAGAACTACTCATGGGCATATAGCCAGAGGATTGCTCTTACTGCTTCACTCCATAAAGAATTTAAAAGTCCCCCCCTCCCCAATATTTGAAGCTATAACTGGATTGGAAGCATAATATCTAAGCAAAATAACTGGGAGTCAGGCGGCATATAAATTTATATTATTATTATGGCTGGTCCCAAAGTCAACCAAATGTTTAGATGATTTATTATTATATCTGGGAGAGACTGGTAAATGTGTTTGGTTGCTTTTGCATATAATCAGATTCAAATGCACAAGCTCAAACATGAGCTACAGATCTTAATACCAGTGCAATTTAACTCTGACTTTAACCTTAACTCTTTTGTTGGAAGTAAATAACACTCTTTGTGTATATGCTATGTATAAGACTGATATTGGTGCAAAATGTTACAATGCATTCTTTACATGTTCTAATTTATATCTGTATAAACTGGGGAAATAATTTTAAGGTTTTGATAAATTGATTTTTTATTGGCTTGGTATGCTGGCTGGGGAATTCTGGGAGTTGAAGTCCATAAGTTTTAATGTTGCCAAAATTGGATACCCCTCCCCTAAACCAAGGGGCACAAATACATTCTTAGACTTTAAATCATAGGCCAGCAGTTTACCATTTATGAGTCACATAGAATAGCCAGCTCACTCTGGCATCCCCTAACCCACCAATTGCAAGAACTGTAATGTCTCACCCTAGAAAAATAAGACTCTCTTGTATTATTTAATAGTAGAAGTTATAAAAGATTTCAGCATGTTGGTTTATGGTGTTTGGTCAAAATACAGATCTGAGTGGAAAAAGCCCTGGGCAGGAACTATTTCTCAGAGTTGGAGATCCACTGTTCTTAAGATGCAGATCCAAATATAGTACTTCTCAGTTTGGAAATAAGTGGCATTTTGGAAACAAGCAATTAAAAAAGGTAATGAAATGGTCCATTTTCCTGTGATAGTTACTACTAACAACTCCCACTGGTTATATTAAATACTAACTGACATAAAATGTATGATTTTAGCATACTTCATTTCTCATACTTCCCAATTCAAATAAGAACAGTTAACTACATTCAATTTGTTATGAAACATACTAACCGTTCTCTTTATAAAATGTTTGAGTTGTTCAGCATTCTTAACTTGCTAGGTTTCTTTCAATAGCCTCCTTTCTTACATTACATTGGAGTTGTTCTTAAAGGTTAATTCCTTTCCTACTCTATAATGTTAAACTGTTCCTTTGTTTGTTTGGTTTGAGAGTTTGCTCTCAGTTTGATATTTCACTTCTGATCCAAGAAGCTTTTCAGCCCTGACTGGATGGTGGGGAATGGAAGGATCCAGTCAGAGTTCAAAAAGCTGATTGGATCAGAAGTGAAACTTATTCAAAGCAAAATAACAAAGTCCAGTTGCCTCTTGGGAAAAAAAAAACATCTTTGGGACCTCCATGACCTGGATGACTGAAAATCTCCATATTCATCCACCACTAACATATCCCCCAATGTGAAACTTTACATAGGTTCCTCCTGAATAAAAGCTATTGGCTCTTACATCCTAATCTTTATTTAAACATTTAGAGTATGACGCTAGAAGGAAGATTGCTATTGAGTTCATCTTGGGTTAAGACTCTGTATGCATTTATGTCACACGTGGAACAACATAATGATGGTAATTATACTTGTTCTTCTGAAGAAATTGCTGCCAAGAAAACTGCTATAGTTAGAATTTTAGGTAAGACATATTTACTTACGTTGATATATGCAGTAGAGGTAATTGATAGGATAAAATATGTTTTTTTCTATAGAATGTTGACAATGAAGATAAACACATGTTGT